ACATTGGACATGTAACTGACAGAAACTTCGTAACATGAGGCATCTATATACTAAGAATGAAGCATCCAGGTCTTCCACCTTCTAAAATATAAAGTTTTTAAGAAGTTAGCTAACGCCGCCGCCGGATCACTAGCCCTATGTCGAGCTTTCTGCGACAAAAGTCGCAGGCTCGACAATAGAATTAAGAAGATATGGTTTGTATAGGTATAATTACCTTTGATATTTCTTTTACTTTATATCTATTTAATATTTTAAAATATTTTGAAAGTTGAACGAATATAACAACAACTTACTAGTACCATAACTATTTTATTTACAATTAACTTTTCCATATTTCAGAACTTAACATTATTGAACGAGAATACAGAAGTGTTGGATGATTCAGACGTAAGCCCGTCACCCAAAAAGGTCAAACAAAATTAAATTGCAATATTTAAACTTGTTATTTATGCAATGAACCATGACTGACGGTTCAGGGCAAAATAAAAACACCATGGAAATGCTAATGCTTATAAAACTGCATACCCAACACCATTGACTTATCAATTTGTTCCTTGTTAAACTGTGAAAGTTTTAAAGTCCATGAACCATGATAAGGAAGTGGGACCAAATAATCTCTATAAAAATGAGACTTGCAAATGCCAATACAACTGCATACCAAATATCAGATATTAGTCACTCATTTTAAACTGATCTAATCACAAATCACATGTAAATAATGCAAAACATTCAGTCAATAAACCATGACTGAGGCTGGAGCTGAACAATCTCTATGGAACTGAGATCTGTCAATGCTTATACATCTGTATACCAAATATCATTGACATACCACTTATAGTTCCCTTTCAATTGACCTAATCACAAACTTATACATGTAAACTAATTAAAAGTTTTAAGTCGACTATGACTGAGGGAGAGAAGCAAAATAATCTCCTTAGAAATAAGATATTTCAATGCTTATATAACTGCATACCAAATATCATTGACCTACCACTAGTTGTTTTCTTTAACTTGAACTTATCACAATCAAATACATTGTTGAAGCTGCTGCTTATGGAAAAAGCATGCCCAAGTCTCACTTTTTCAACTTCGTCCATACCATACAATAAATCAGCTGTGTGTTACCCTTGACCACAGAAACCTCTTCCCCCTTTATTTGTCATTCAGACTCAAATAAAATATAAGATAGGTTTTCTCAATTAAATTTTTATTTAACTATTTATTTATATCATTATCATGCATCATAATATAAAATACCCAAATGAAACCAGACCCATTCTGCTCCATCAAGTGTGTACAAATACCAAAGAAATTGTAATAATAATTAGTTTTTAGTCCCTTTATAAGTAAAAGGAGGAAAAGGATCTGCATCATGGGTAAGGTATCATTGGTTAAATATTACAATTATACAAAATAACTGACAGAGCTGAGGATTTTTTTTAGTTTCTTGATACCAGTTCCCAGACTAGCTGTTTAAATAGAATTTAGAAAATCCATTCTGTTCTGAGATACAGCTAGGTCTTAAATTTTAATATCCTTAGGTCTTAAAGGAATTTTTTTTTGCTCAATATTAAACTTGGTGCTTTCCAATACTTTTAAATACCAAACTTGAAATAAATTTATATAATTCCATAAAATATATGAATCCTCAGTTTGTCACATACGAAGAGGCATTTACAAATATAACAAGGAATACAATGGTAAATACTAAGATAAAAAATGTATAAAAATACATGAATCAAATTCATTTATGAGGTGTACTCAATTTATTTACTGGGTTATTTAAATAAACTAATATCATGATCTGTGCAAAAATTATTAGATCACCAAGGAAATAGTTAACTGCATTTCATTAAACATTTATAACCCCAAGCTCTTATATTGTATATAAAGTTTCTTTATAATTCCTCCCAATTTCTAACCAAAGTCAATTCTTTATATCAAAGTAGGATAGTTATTTAACAATACATGTATGATATAAATATATTTTTTAATTATTTTCTTGGAACCAGAACTTTTTGCCCAGGAAGTAATAAGTAATTATTTCATATAAAATAAAAAGAGGAGATATGATTGCCAACGAGACAACTCTCCACCAGAGACCAAATGACATAGAATTTAACAACTATCAGTCACCTACAGCCTTCAACCATGACCAAAACTCATACCCATAATTCATATCCTTTAGGAAATTTGCCATAGTAAGCAAGTATATCATCTGTTTGCTCATCCGTCTACAACTTCCAATCACAATTAAAGGATTGAATTGTTTTTGCCTAAACTTTCAAATAATCTTCAGTATCTGTTGGCATTGTGTATATTTTTTTCACATCCAAAGGTTCCCCAATTGAAGAATGGACTTTTCCATTTATAAAATTTTATTACTCATATTGAAGGATAGGTTGGTTCAGCTGATAAGAACACAGATTTAGTTAGTGCAAGATTTTGCATTTATAAATCTTGTAATTTGGTCAATCTTCAACGACCACTTCAATATTTATGTTCATTCATTTTTCTATTTTATCCACTAAGAAGAGTTAAAAGCATAATAAATGTCTGATCTCATTATGTAAATTTATATTTTGAATTGCATGTATAATCAAAATATATAAACTCAATCATACTAAGGCTTGGTATAACAAGATTTGACAGTAAAAACAAATAAAATCACATAAAAACCACTAAAATCAGATAAAACCAGATAAAACACAAATCTTGTTATAGCAAAGCCTTATAAAATTTACATTAAAGCTACAGTGGTAATATATACATGCGTGTCAGTGTGAACCCCAAATTTATTTTGAATTTAAGTCATTAAAATTTTGTCATAATGAGATCCAACTACTAAAAACATGATTAAAAACAAATATATTTGAACCAACCTATCCTTCACATGATAAAATGGTGGTATGAGAAGCTGAGATCCTTTCCCTTTTTTTCAAATACTTAGGAGGTCCATTCATTACAATTGAGAACCCCAAAATTTCATTATAATAAAATAAAATACACACAGCCATTAGATAGATAATCTGAAAGTTTAAATGAAAACCTTCCATTGCTTTATAAGCTGTGGATGAGAGATGATGATGGACAAACAGACAGACAAATCTTCTTTAATAACCTTTTTATGCTCAACATGAGTGCAGATGGGCATGGGATTTGGTCCTGCCCTGGGTCATATCAAAAAAAAGAATTGAAAATTGGTATTTGATGCTCCCCTGCTAAGCATTCAGCAATTAGGAGTAGGAGCAAAGACTGGTCAGCTGGAAGTCAGAATAATGTGTTCAGGTAGGGTTAGATGTCTTGTGCAGACTTTTACATTATGAACTAGCACATTAAAGAAATCTTGCAGTTTTAATTATCCATCCATCCTTCAAAATCAAAACTTCTTTTACAGGATCCTGGTTGTACATGTGGAGGGGGGAAGTTATTGTTTAGAAGCTGAGTACAAGCCTCAAAAATCAAACATTAAAATATAAATAATCATAAATGAGAAAAAATATAGAAATCAATCACACAAAAATGAGAAAATATGACAAACTGCAAAAACTATGTAATTATTTTCACTTGAGTGGTCTCGGATGCTGAATAATGCATTTATAATATATAAACAAAACCAATAAATAAAACTGACAGCCATTAATTTGTACGAATGTAAAGAGTGCAGAGTCAAAACAAACCATCTAACTAAACATTTTTATTTCTAGTTCATATTGCACCAAAAAACTCAGTACTTAAATTGTTTAATAGGGGATTTGTTTTATTCCCTTTTAGTGTTTGGCCATCAAAGTCCTACTTAATAGGTTTCTAACCAGAAAAAATCATTTCACAAAGGACTTATAATTCTTAACCAGTGTACATAACTTAAAAAATATATGTAAACTGAAGCAAGTCTTATGGGTATCTTGTGAAACCATACATCATACCTTTGGGACCTCTCAAATAACAATAATTTCACAGTTTTTTTTAAGATTTCTTCAAACACAAAACAATAATTGAATGCAAGAAAAAATAATGAAATAAATATTTATAATTTGAATAATAAAGCATTAAAATTTAATTGCATTTGTAATTCATTCTGCTTATAAGACAAATATCTGCTGATTTTTTTACAAAAGATAGCAACAGTTCATCCAATGGTTTGCAGGATTGTAGTCTGAGGATTTTACCATATAAAGAAGGCAGCAACAGCAACTCTTTCGACTGAAAAAGAAACAAAGTTAAATTTCAATTGTTGATTCTTAATTTTAAAATAATCCAACTGGAATAAAGAAACAGACATCAGTGTATGTTATACAATTTGTTTATTACTTATATTGATTACTCACAAGTATACCCCCCAAGGGTGACTGGGGAATAGAAGTATGGTCACCATTGGTCTTCCTCCGACCGGCAGTAAAACCCGTGCTAAAGTGGGGCGTCCGTTTGGCTGTGCGGGATGTACAAATTTGCAGCCACGTCCGGTCAGAATGGGGACGTTAAATCCGATGCCTCGTGTAAAGAGAGTGTCACGCTCTTTGCACGTTAAGAACCCTTGCAACAACTCTTTGAGGGGTCCGTAGGTGACCTGTTGCAAGGCTAAATTTTTGTCCCTATCCAATATACCCTCATTTCCCGTGGCAGTCTAAATTTCTCCGACTTTAATCCCTTAATCTATTACAGAACCTACCTATTGTATTTATTGTGAACTTGTTCTCGTCCTGAATATGCATGAAATATTTGCCACTGGACGTTAAGCAACCAACAATCAATCAATCAATCAAAAATATATAGTATAAAAAATATCTGATTTTATTGTTATCTCCCCTTCATATATCTTCTTCAGATCTAGTATCTGCTTTAAAGGGTACATTATTTTAAAATGAAAAGATTGATACTGATTTTTTTTAATTGTAAATTAAAAAAAAAATATATATATTGAAATCTATTTAGTGACATTCATCACACTATAACATAAACACATTAAAGTTGTATGTTGATGAATAAGTTCTCACCTTATAACAGCTTTATCCCAGTAAGTAACCCAATGGAAACCTGATGCTAACCTGGAATATAAAAGTAGTCAGTTATACTAAACTTTCCAAAAAAAAATTATTACACATGTACTTAATTTAAAATTGCACTAGAATAACAAAAAATCATGAAAAAAATATTTGGTATTCTGAATTATAAACTCAGTTTTGTATTTACCAAAAAAAATTCAACCAGTATCTCATCAGTGTAAAATTATTTTTTTGGTACTGAAGAACCTTATGAAATTGATTTCAAATATTATATTACTAAAAAGATGCTTGATTACCTACCAACATGTTAACAATATCAGACATCCAAGTCTTACTCCCAACACCATGAAAACATCATCATTATAACAACCTAAAAATAAAAAAATAAAAAAAATAATTACTTGTTTTACAGATCAATCTGTCTCTAAGAAGACTAACAAAATAATGCTATGTTTCATTTATTAAAACCTGTTATACATTATCATCTTCACTATATAAACTTTAAACTGCTAGAGATAGAAATTGACCTTGTGCAAGTGCACATATATGTATATGACAGTGATTTTGGAATATTCAATTACAAAATTGGATGGTTTTGTTCTCTTTTGATGGTTCTTAAAATCATTTTCATAACAGCGTAGACAACCCCAATACTTATGTTGGTAATAATACTAACTCTCAATTACTGTAAATTCAGAAACTATTGCAATGTTTTTATTATTGCAAAAAATGCAACATGGTTGTATTGGCAATAATTTAAACTAGCATTTTGAAATTTTTTATATGAATTAAAAAGGATTTTTTTCAATATCGCAAAAATTAAAATCGCATTTTAGTCTAAAATTACAAAATCGCAATTAATGAATGGTTATTATTTATTTTGAATTTATTGAACTCTAAAAATAATTTTTGACTCTTCACCTTGAATAATCCGTGAAGTGGATTATGTAAAATGTGGAGAGTCAAAAATTAATTTTATGGTTCAATAAATTTAAAATAAATTATAGCCATTCATTATAAATAAATTTCTATCAAAAATAAGGCTCAAAGAACTTTTTATATTATTTATATTAACCATAACAACGTACACGGATGTTGGCGTATGAATATACAACGTCAGAGTGGGCGTGTCGCCATAAAAATTGACAACCTGGAAAATAAAAGTAATACTTTTAACCAATCAGAAGACAGTAAATACACCAAATTTATTTATTAATAATTGCACACAATAATTTCTGAATTTACAGTAACTTTTAACTTGTTTGCCATTGGCTATGATAACAGTGATTTTACGCTCACTCAGTCTGTCAGAGGCCTTCCAACAGGGATTTAAATAGAATAAAAGAGCAAAGTACATGTAGGCATAAGAGAAGAAAAAAAGAAAATAATTATTTAACATTTAAATCAACACACAAGGTTTAGTCCTCTGCTAGTAATTCATACTATTTGATGTAGGCATTTAGAACCTTTGGTGACCCCAGTTTAAATGTCTATAACACATTCAATGTGACAAGTGGGCGTTACAGACAAACTTTCACCTTATCTGACCCAGTCAATAGATAACGTAAGAGCGCCAAGAAATCGTCTTGTCCACGCTTTTATGACAATGATTCTACATCAATTCAATATTCAAACAGTTACAGACTTTGCATAAAAATTTGTTCGACCAAAATAAGTTTACAAATTCATTGATAATAACTTGCATACAGTTGGTTTCTATCCAACACAGCTCACTCGATACCAGACAGAAAACAAATGTAAGACTAGATACTCTAAAAATCATACACTGACAGAAACGAAACCCTTACAAAATAATGTTAAATGCCTATATTATTATCATAAAATTTGTGGAATATATAAACTTACCACATATTTTTCATGGTAAAGCCTCAGACTTGGTGAAGATTAAATTTACCATCTCCCTTAGAGCTGCTCTCCCGGCTGACAAGGTGGCTCTCCTCATCATCTTAACATCTTTTTTTTTTAAATATAGTTTTATACATTAAATATATCAGATGCATTTCCAATAAATCCCTTCTTGAAAATTTCAGCAAATCAATTGTTAATGACCCAAGATTTCTCCCACCCTGCATACTTATTATCTAGAGCTCTGCTTACATTTATTTTTTTTTTATTACAGAGCTCTAAATAATAGTCAATATTAGCTAGTATACATCTGATATTAAAAAAAAATGTACAAACATGAATATCCAAGTAGATGAAAATCCTAACATTGAGGGAATTTCAAGTATGTGGAGTTAAACAGGGGTATAATAAATTGCCTCCCTTTGACCCAAATTTCACCCTGTTCGGACTCAACTTCCTTGTTATATTAAACAAAATAAATAAAATAGTACAATTAAAATTAAAAAATAGATTGATAACAAAAATCTAACACATTTCAATAAAATATTTCGTACTGATCGACTTATGGTGGCAGAGTGGTTCTATAAGTAGTTCAACTACTGTATCACTAGCCTGTCAACAATGAGAACCCTCACATGAAATGTGTAACTTCATTCTTAATTTGACTAGGGTTTGCCGTTTCCCTGATGAAGGTGATGTTTTCACCAGGCACTCTGGCTGTCTCCACAAATAAAAATTTACAGCCAAAATTATAGTAAATCATGTTAAAATGGCGTTTAACACCAAAAATCAACCAATCCAATTTCAACAAGATGGTCTTCAACTATGCCTTTTGTAAAATTATTCTTTAAAAAATATCACCTTGGCTTCAAACCAAAATCAGCTAAAAATGTCAAAAAAAGTGCAAAAAATATATTTCTAACTTCTAAACTTCGTAAATTCCTCTGCATTAGAGCACCCTTGTCACATATCTTAAAGATATTAAAATTAACATGAAAGAAAAGGTTGTAAGGGGATATATTTACTGCAGACCATTATTCATCTTTTTAGTTTACACTAGAGAGGCATTTGCTATGGTAAGGTATTTTGAAACGTTGCTAAAAAAAACAAAAATAATTAAAATTTTTGCTAAGAAATTTAGTGGGAATATTCACATCGGCAAATTCAATTGCATTAACTACATGTATAAAGTAACTTGTAAAATTTGAAAGTATCTCAAATCCTAAAATAACAAAAAGATGGCAAAAATATATACATTACAATTTGCAAAAAAAAAATACATTTCAATAATTGAACATTTTTTTTTCTTTCTTTTTCTTTTAGATTATCCATTCTTAAACTGCTGGAAGTGTTTTGACTAGACATGAGTATAAATGGAAAATAGAAAGAATTTTTGTAATGTCAAATACAAGTTAACCTACAACTTCCAATCTTGTTGAAAATGGAGAATCTTTACATATTTTTTTTTTTTTTTTTTTTTGTAAAAAAATTATAAACATTTTCTCAAGCATACACAAAAATAGTCTGAATTACATTCTTTACTGTTGCAGTTATATCACACAACCATTTTATGCCGCCACAGTTATCTGAAAAAGAAATATACATTACTCATGAACATTGAAATAATATTGAATGCAAAACAATTATAATTAACTGAGCATTACAATTATAATGTATAGAACATTTCTTTTTCTTTGTTATAAAGTGATTTGTTGACATAAATTTTAAAGTACCAGTATTTCTTAGCAATAAAAGGATGAAAAACAAGTCATTGGCTGATGTCTTGACAAATATCTTTTTAACATTGTTTTATAGCTATATATAGTATATCAGGCTATTAACATACTTGATTGAATTTTTCAACATTTAGTCATGTTGAACCTTTATAGCTAACTATACAATATAGGTTTTGCTCATTGTTGAAGGCATAGGGTGACATTTAGTTGCATCCACATCATTTGGTCTCTGGTTGATAGCTGTCTTATTGGCATACATACCACACTTACATATTTTCATATATGGGGACAACTATAGATAACAAAAAAACTGAAATCCCAAGATTTCGCATTATACATTATACTTTTTGACTTCCCTTATATATCTTTATATCTCCTTCTAAATTGTTTATTCAACTATAAGTAAAGAAGACATTAATAATATGTAAGATTTACATCTGTGCCGAACAAAAATCTTGGGCTTTAAAATGCTCTTGGATGAAAAGTTCATAAATCTATGTATTGATTCTTACCATAAAAGTCAGCTCCAATGCCCACTCCCAGCTTCAATCCTTACAGACAAGCTGTGATGCTAACCTGAAATATAAAATGATAATTCATTAATAAAACCCTGTAACTCGGAAACGTAAAATCTAAAATTTATAAAAATTGAAAGGGAGCTCATGTCAATAGATATAAACAATTCACCACAATTTCTTGCATGTTGGTGTAAGCATTCTTGAGTTATTGTCCGAAAACTGGAAAACCCCCTTTTTTTAATGAATAAAACCCCATAACTCGGAAAAGTAAAATCTATAATTTATAAAAAATGAAAGGGAGCTCACGACAATAGATATAAACAATTCACCAAAGTTTTATGCAAATTGGTTAAAGCGTTTTTGAGTTAATGTCTGACATGTTGACTACGGACAGACAGACGGACAACAGTATACCATAATACGTCCCGTAAACGGGCGTATAAAAACTGTTTAAAAGGTTCTTTGTTGGTATTATGTATGTATATTGAATAGATTGAACGATTGGTTGTTGGTTGCTTAAGGTCCAGTGGCAAATCATTAAATAGAAATAGTCTTAAAATGTGTTATATATGTCAAGAACATATGGATGAGACAGCAATCCAACAAGCCAACACATTTTTATGTAAACAATTCAGATCCTAAACTTTACTCTTATTTGGTTACTGATATAATAATAAGAGTAGATTCTTGTAAAAAATCTTTTAAGCGTTCAAATCTTGTTTTTCCATAAAATATTTATAATACATTTGAGTTTTCCAAAACAGGACTAACATACTGGTACATACCTTTGTATTAGCTGTATAAGACCACCAAGTCTTATTCCCACACCATGAAAACATGTCTCAGAAAGAACCTGAAATGAAATTATAATCAACACATTATACATTTTGTAAATCAATTTGTGTGTTACCGATAACCTAAAATTTACTAAATATTATTCTGATTTCTTATTGCAGGTAGACAATTGTATAAAATCATTTTTTTTTTTAAATCAATATAAAAGATAGAAAAGTAAAAAAAACGTCAGATTTAAATTAAACTGCACAAAAAATATCAATATTTTACAGTTATCTCCCATTGAATGCAAAATCGTGTTTTAAATTGTACTCACTCAAGTCTTTTCCTGAAGTTTAATGACTATTTTTAGGATTTACTATTGATATTTTAATAGAAAATCTTGTTCATGTATCTTGTATCTTTAAATAATAAACTGGTAAATTAATTCATCAATGGTGTTTTAAATGCAATATTTCAGAAGGGTCTGTTATCTTAAAAGATCTGGCTAAAATAAACTTGCCTTTTCTATTTTCATGGTAAAGAGTCAGACTTGGTTGAAGATTTGGTTGAAGATTTAATTGACCATCTTCCTAAGAGCTGCTATCCTGGCTGACAAGGTGGTTCTTCTCAATATCTTATTGTCAATCTATGTTGTGTCCATTTGTTTTTAGAAAATAAAGTAACATACATAAAAAATATCAGATGCACTTTCAATTAATAAACTTTTTGAAAAATTTCACGTAATTATTTTAAGTGACACATGATTTTTCCCACCCTAAATTTCTATTATCTAGAAAACATCTGATATGTAAAAAAGTGCATAAATGTGAGTATCCAAGTAAATAAAAATCTAACATTGAGGGAATTTCAAGTATTTGAAGTTAAACACAGTATAATAAATTACCTCCCTTTGACCTAAATTTCACCCTGTTAGAACTCCACATCTTTGTTATATATAACAAAAAAACATAAATAGTATACCGGTAATCAAAATAAAAAAATGATTAAATTACAAAAATTCAACACATTTCAATAACATGTTTAGTGGGGATGGAGTAATGGTGGCTGAATGGTCAAAGTAGTTCAACTACTGTATCACTAGCCTGTAAACACTCTGAACCCTCACATTGTAGGTGTGTTTAACGTCAATCTTAATTGACTAGAGTTGCCAGTTTCTCTGTTGAAGGGATGTTTTCACCAGGCTGTCTCCACAAATAAAAACTGGCAGCCAAGATATAGCAAATCATGCTGAAAGTGGTGTTAAATACCAAAAATCAATCAATCTACTTTCATCAAGATATTCTTCAACTATGCTTCTTGTAAAATATTCTTAAAATAATATAACCTTTGTTATAAACTCAGCTAAAAATGACACAAAGGTGAAAAAATATATTACAATTTGCAAAAATAAAAAACATTTCAATAATTGAAGAACATTTTTTTCTTTTTTTTTTTTTTCTTTTCTTTTTCTTTTTTTTAGATTCTCCATTCTTAAACTACTGGAAGTGTTTTGCCTAGACATGAGTATGAACAGAAAATAGAAAGTAATTTTTGAAATTCCAAAGACCTATTAACCTACAACTTCCAATCTTGTTGAAAATGGAGAACCTGTACATAATTTTTTTTTTCTTTTTGTAAAAATTATAAACATTTTCTCAAACATACAAAAAAATAGTCTGAATTACATTCTTAACTGTTACAGTAAAATCACATAGCCCTTTTATGCAGCCACAGTTACCTGAAAAAGAAATATACAGAATTAAACGTAATTGTCAAAATCTGAAAATTGAAACAATATCAAATGCAAAATAATAAATAACTGGTCATTATAATCATGATTCATAAAACCTTTCTCTTACTTTGTTTAAAAGTGATTTGCTGATATATTTTTTGAACTACCAGTCTTTATTAGCAGAAAAGGATGAAAAACAAGTCAATGGTAGATGTCTAACATATTTCTTTTTTACATATTGTTTTTTTTTGTATTGGTTCTTACCATAAAAGTAAGCTCCAATTCCCACTCCCAGCTTCAATCTTTACAGACAAGCTGTGATGCTAACCTGAAAAATAAAATGATTAGTCATTCAAGATTGTTTAAAAGGATCATTTTTGATATACTGTATGTATATTCC